GATGTAACTCCCACACCTCCATGATCTTCCCTCATGTTCTCAATAGTTAATACCATGTTTATGGAGTCCCTTTGTATTACCTATATCATCCTATAAATAGAGGGTTTGGGCATCACATTGTATACACTTGAATACATAGAAGAAATAAGATTCTCTCCTCTCTTCCTCTCTACATTGTTGTCTATTTTATTGTTCTATATTGTTACTTTGAGCTAAGTATCGTAACACGTTATTAGCACGAGTCTCTATCCAATTGAGTTATTACATCTACAAAATTGTCTTACATCAGAAAAAGCATATGTCTGCTGTGCCCGATATTCCTCTAGAAGAGATGAGTTTTTCTTTTCCATTTAGCAATTTCAAATAATGGTATGAAATATAATAAAAGGAATATCAAGGTTGAGGAGACTAGTACATCGTGAAAAGGCATATAATGCTAAGATACGTTTTCTAATTTTTTTTTTTAATTAATTCATTTTCTTGTTAGTTTTTCTCAAAAGTTCTTTATTTGCCGAAAAAGTTTCCAATACTAAGTATTACTTTGTAAAGTTAAAAATACTTAGATGTAAATTAATTTCTACTCCATGTTTTTCTTTCTAATATTTATTGTAAGTTTAGTCTAATCTCTTTCACCTAATGTTCAGGTTAGATGTTATATGAGAATCAGAAGCATATAATGATGCAGCTAAATGTTACATACTAAACCAGAGACCAAAGATGTATATAAATTAAGGAGCTACGCCAGCTTTTGCAAAGTGATTTGAAGAACTTTGATTCCTTTATTACCAGTAAATAGATACTTATTGTGTAACACATATATGAGTTTACTTTTATTACTAGTAAAAGTAGTATACCATGAAAGTCTCAAGGGTGAGTCTACTTTGGCATATTATGCCATTAATTAAGGATAAGACGGTGGGTTCAAGTCCCAACGCACCATGAGGGTAAGATATCGGGTTTTGAGTCCTGATGATCCATGATTGTAAAAGTTGGGTTCGAGTCCCAACTCATTATGGCCTAACATGTCTTTATATGGGTCAGGCATTGGGTTTGAGTTCCAATGCACCATATGGATGACATAGTGATGACTAAAGAAAAATAATGTATTTTTCATGGAAAAGCTTGAATCTTGTCCCACTTGATTTGCACCATTCTTGAAGTGAATGTGGTAGCAATGCATAATAAGTAAATGAAGACAAGTGGTTGACCAATGAACATGGGCGTGCCATTGATCAAATAATAATAGTCATCATTATGGTAATTGTAAAAATGAGAACAATAAGGGTTCTCGAAGTAATCCTTCAATAGGTGAAGGAAATATTTACCATCAAATTGGTATGAAAAATTTATAAAGCACGTCGCGATAATTATACTCCATTCTTTGAAGAGAATGTGACTTGTGCATTGAGAATGCATATTCATTCCTGAAGGTGAATATAACAATATGTAATAAAAGTAATGAATAAAGACGTGCAATGCATGATTGGATACACACCACAACTCACCTCTAAGGGAGGTTTGAGAGAAAGAGAGATAATGAATATTAGTGTGTGATTACATGAATATGTCATTGGTCGCGTACATGTGGTACGCCAAAAAATAATTTGACATGCCTTATAAAAAGTTATTAAAGGCAAAAGTAAAGCAAGAAATGATTTTGCTTATGATGATTTTGACCATGACAATTATTATGATATGATTTTCTCCGTGAAGGAGACATTCACCATATGGATGGTGTGACAAAAGATATTGTAGTACAAAATCAATTAAGAGCTCCGGAAGAGCTAATTTGTTACTACCCGGATGAATGAAATTGTTCATGACATTGATATTGTAGTAAGTCTCAAACGGAATTTTTGAGTTTCAAATATATTAGCCAAAATGGTTGGCATATTGAGACTATAAATGAAAAGAAGATTGAATATCTTCATATTACTATAATCATACCGGGTAAATATAAAAAGTTACCTGATTTTTCTTCTATTTGTACTACAGATGTATAAGCATCATGATGGAATCACATGCCACAAGTAAACTAGAGGTTTATTGAAACAAATATTAGTTGGCATGACCGGTTGACCATCCTGGTTCAATTATGATGTGAAAATTGATTGAGAATTCACATTGGCATATATTAAAGAAATAGAAGATTCTTTAAGAATTCTCTTGTGATGTTTTTTTTCTCATGATATACCAGTTAAGGTTGGGATTGAATCCCTTGATATCTGGAACGAATAAACGGTGATATATATGTATGGGCCTAATAACCTGCCATGTGGATCGTTTACTATTATATAATTTTAATAGATGCATCTATTGTATGGTCACATGTGCGTTTGTTATCAACTTGCACTTTGGTTTTTGCAAGGTAGTTTGCTCAAATTATTAGAGCACAGTTCCAGAATATATATTATGATAATTTATCTTGATAATGCTGGTTTAAATCCAAGTTGGTTTAGCAGAAATTGTATGCCTCCAATTATAGCTAAACCATTGGTTATAAGAACAAAACTCCAAATAGAAATTTTGTATTAAGTATATTATTTAATATACAACAGCACTTGTACGCATCTAGCCAACAAGTTATGATAAATTCTCCCCATCACAATTGGTTCAGGGTCAGGAACCAAATATTTTCATCTAGAAATATGGATGTACTATATGATTTAATTGTGCCACCACAATGCACAAAGATTGGTCTCAATGAAGGTTGGGGATATGTGTTGGTGATCCCAACATTAGGGGGAGAAAATGAGCAGCTGAAAAAAAAGTAATACATGGAATGAATTATTATGAGTACATTAGATCCTCGTACAAGAAAATATGAACTTGAAGTTCAAGTGATAATTCATTTGCAAAATATTTCCATGCGCATTTGCTGACCCAAACTAAATGTCATATTTCAGCTACTAATGCTCCAAATAGAATAAAGTCCATGATGGACATAGTCTATGGAACTCTTGAAACGTAATAGACTAATCGGTTCCAAAGATAAAACTCCTTGAAGAAGGAGAGGAGAAAATGTTCAAGATGGTCATAATAAGGAGGCAAGTACTTTATAAGAGCACCACGACATAACATTTTATTAGACCTCATGGGAGAGGCTCAGGTACCTGAAAATAATGAGATCTCGATAAGTTATATCTTTATTATGCGATGATGGAACCGATGTAAAATGATCGTTGACGATGTTGTTAATATAATGTAGCGCTCAATATTATTAATATTGACGAGGATCTTGAGCTCAAATCTGTCATGGAATTTGGACAGATAAATGATTGGCCAAATGAAAAATATGCAATGAAATTGACTTCACCTGAAAAATGTGAAGTTGGACGGATATTCCCCACACCTGAAAGTGAAATGAAAAATCAAGTTGATAGACATAAAGACGACTTGTGGCACAAAATTTTCGGAAATATCCTGGTATTAGGAGAAATGTTCTCCTGTGGGGGGTCTGACAATACATTTGATATGCATATAATGAAAATCCTTGAATGATTTAAATTGTTCTGAAGCATATTAAGGTTCCCAAGAAATTTATTAAATAAATCTTCGGCATATCCTTATGTAGATTAAAGCGATCATGGCGTACATGATTTATTTTTGTGTCTAGTGCAATTGGTGCACTAATATATCTGGCTAGAACCATGAGTATAACAACATGCTAGCAAGATATAGTTTTATTGCAATGTGGAGATATTGGAATACAATTAGTATTATATTTCAAAAGGAATACTTGATTTAGATTTGTTTATTCTAACAAATATCGCTAAGATTTTGTTGGTTATGCAAATGCAGGCATTTCTGAAGTTCGTTCTTCAAACATTCTATTTGCATGTGAGAGTACTGCCATATTATCATATTACAAGACAGTTAATTGTTGATACTTATTCAAGTCATGCCAAGATAAGCAACTGATAAAGCAAGGGGCTCAACACACAACAGACGTGTGACTTGACTTTGAAGAGAAGATTCCAATAATAATGAAGAAGCTGATGTTTGCTTATCTCAATTGAAAGAAGAATATTGAAGGAGACTGAATAAATCATATATTTTATCAAAGTTCTTTGTCAGACACTATCTTCAACAGAATGATGAAATAGATGTTCAAGAAATTCCTTTAAGTGATAATTTGGCGGAATGATTCACGAAGGCATTGCCGATCTCAATATTAGAGAAGTTGTTATACAAGCTTGGAATTCGGCGTCTCCGAGAAATAAAGTGATATTTTTATCAGGGGGAGGCAAATACGCGCTGTACTCTTTCCCTTAGCTAAGGTTTTATCCCACTGGGTTTTCCTGGCAAAGTTTTTAATGAGGCAGCAAGTAATGTGTATTACAAGATATGTGTACTCTTTTTCCTTCACTAAGATTTTTTCCTCCATGGTTTTTTCTTAGTAAGGTTTTAACGAGGCACATTATCTATGGACATCCAAGGGGGAGTGTTATGAAATACATATTTATATGGATGTCCACTAATCAAATATAACTCCCACTACTCTTCTCCATTATGTAGATAACCCCCACTACTTCTTACCATTATAGATGTAACTCGCACACCTCCATGATCTTCCCCCATGTTCTCAATAGTTAATACCATGTTTATGGAGTCCCTTTGTATTACCTATATCATCCTATAAATAGAGGGTTTGGGCATCACATTGTATACACTTGAATACATAGAATAAATAAGATTCTCTCCTCTGTTCCTCTCTACATTGTTGTTCATTTTATTATTCTATATTGTTACTTTGAGTTAAGTATCGTAACAGCATTATCAATATAAGTAATTTTTTCATATTTTTAGATCCCTCAAAAGAATAATAATTGATTTATTATTAGATCACTCGAATAATATATGATCAGTTTTAACAAATTTCATGGTCCAAGCCCAAGATATTAATTTTTTCTAGGTTTAACTGCATTTTGTCTCTCTCTAGGTTTAACTGCATTTTTTCTCTCTCTAGGTTTAACTGTATTTGTGGTGCAGAATCTTCTTCTAAAATTATCACAGGTTGTTTTCGTTATGCGCAAAAAAGGAAAGTAAAAAACGAAGGGAGTACAGCGAAAGCAGTTAGGATTAAGGGGCAGAAAAGGTAACTCCAAAAAAAAAAAAAAAACGAATTTAGCAGTCCATAATTCGATTCCATTTTTTTACAAAATCTAATAAACTGATACATTTTTCGCACATAAAGAAGTAAAAAAACCGAATGCGGCGACCATGATGAACGTTGACAAGAAAGAATCCGATCGCAACCTTCCAGAACTTTCTCCACCGTCCGTGGAGAACCATCCGCCGGCACCGGCAGCGACCCCGTCACGGCCACCACCGAAAGAGCCCACTGCGCCGCCGCAGATGAAACAGACGCCGTCAACAACTGTCATGATTCCTTCTATTGATCCCAATGCCCTCTTTAGCGGCGGCGGTATTAGGTTAACTGCATTATTGCTCTCCTGTTTTATTTTTCTTTCTTTCTGCTGAATTTATTCGCTGTTAGTTGTTGTTAATGCTGTATATTGTCCATCATTATTTTTTATGATTCGAGAAATGATAATGGCTCTCCACTTTTTTTCCTACTGCACTATGGACTGCTCGTTAATCTTTCCGAGTTTATGATTATTTTTGTTATTTTTTGTAGTGTGAGAAAGGATTATGAGAGTTTGCAGTTGCTATTTATACTCGAAATTATGGTGTAAAGTTGAATTTTGTTAGTTCTTTTCTACAACTTTTTCCAAAGTATTCTTTGTTTTACAAAGTTGGGGGCAGTATTTACCAAAGGTATAATATGAACATATAAAGTAGGCACCTTTGATAAGTGATTTCCTCATGAGATCATGATATCCTAACTAAACAAGCGGTAACAAGACGTAGCAGAGAATTACTTCAATTACGAGCTTTTTCTATTCATAAAGTTTATCTCTTCAATCTATATATCATTGCATAATGTCAATGGGAACCATTCTTCTGTTTGGTCTCCACTCAGCCTTAAAACCTTAGCTACGATCTAATACTGTTGGCAAGAGAGAATTAGTTGGGGAATTACATATCAAAGTGTTATGTCCGCGCCATACATGAAGCCGCAAAATATGTTCTATTTCTGCTTCAAACCTAGGTCTATTTTGAGAGATTTTGATTCGATAATACTCCGTCCTGCTGTACTTATCCAAAAAATAAAAATTAAAGAAGATACTCTCTTGCTGTTCTTGCTGGCCTGGCCGCTATTGCCATCCGCCGACGAGATATACTGAAAGACATGGAAAAATTCCGCAGAAAGAGGCATCCGTGCGCCGTCTCTGTTTCCATAAATTGATTATGGGTCCATTTCCTATTTGATTCTCGGAAAGTGACATTCTTATAAATATCCTTCCACCCTTTCATTGTGCTCATTGAATGAGCAATTCCATATAGCTATATGATGTAATTGGTCCTCCCTTTCCTTGGACTCCATATCTCATCACTGACCTTCCTCCACCCTGATCTTCCATCCCATATCTCCAAATTCAGTTTCCTAATAGTGCTTTGTTTAATACTTACCCATATCAAAATATACTCCACTGGTATGTTCTGTAGCTTAAAGAGCCGGTCACTGGGCAAGTTATGTCTTGAACTTCAGCCTGGTTGCCTGTTTTGGTTGTGGATATTAACATTCAAGTTCAGGCTGATAAATGCATTTTCTTTTGTTCAGGCTGATAAATGCATTTTCTTTTGTTCAGACTTTTAGATTTTCAAAATGGCTGTATCTTCGTTGTGGCGAGCAACAATTAATGCAGTGCTATTCATTTCTAAGGATATGCTTTGGGTGAACTTTTATAAGAAACTAATTGATTTATTTTTCTTTTCTTGAAGCTTTCTGACGGGAAACAAAAGTGCTAAATTCAGCTACGGATATGCTAGTTTTAAGGGGAAACGGGCTTCCATGGAGGACTTTTATGAGACAAGGATATCAGAAGTCGATGGTCAAATGGTGGCATTCTTTGGTGTTTTTGATGGTATCTCTCAGGATTTCTTGCATATCGTTTCAGGATAGGCTTTTTCTACTTTCAGAGTGTAATTCTTGATTTAGTGTAATCTTAACTTTTGTAGATAGGAAAATCAACGCATGAAAAAAACCTTTTGGTGACCTGGATAATTGCTTATCCCTTTATATTCTGCTTGTTATTAGGTCACGGTGGTTCAAGAACAGCAGAATACCTGAAGAACAACCTCTTTAAGAATTTGAGTGGTCATCCTGATTTTATCAAAGATACGAAGTCAGCTATAGGTATGAATCAGAGGAGACATATTCTGCGTAATTTCTAATTTCATCCTATCTTCTGTCTTCTGTATCATTTAATAGGAAAGGCTCTTGAATGCAGTTGAAGCATTTAAGCAAACCGACACCGATTACCTTAATGAAGAAAAAGGCCAGCAAAAAGATGCCGGTTCAACAGCATCAACTGCTGTTCTTTTAGGTGATAGATTGGTTGTTGCAAATGTGGGAGACTCTAGAGTCGTCGCTTGTAGAGATGGCTCAGGTTTGTTGCTTGTCTCTATATAATTATATGCAAAATTTTTACAAACACGGCTTAGTTTTCAGAGAGACGTATATATAGTTTGGTTTATCGCAAGGTTGGTTATTTTTCTTTTGTGGCTTATCTTTGTTATAGATAAATGCTTTATAATGGAAAGTACATATGAAAGTGGTAGAACTCACAGGGGAGGGAGTGTTTCAGTAGATTTATGAGAAGTACTCTTTTGGGCTGTATATAATTGTGATTCTGGAACTACATGTTGTAACTTTCAGTACTTTCTTCATTCTCATATCAATGAAAGTTTATCTGATAAAAAAAGGTGAGCGTTACTCATTTAAAGAAAGTATATAAACCCGATCAAACAAAATAAGAATAACTGAGTACATTTCAGATCTTCCAAGCAATCTTTTTGCTCTAGGTGCCTCACAAGAGCTTTAAAAATTCTATGTGAAAAGCTTGTCCTGTTTTCTAGGGAAATAAGATAATTAAGGAATCTGCCACGTTTCTTTATGTTGTAGGCTTTGATTTTCTTTTTTGGCCATCTGTCCTAATTGGTGTGTCTTGCAAGTTGACATTGACGCTGTAACAAATAATCTTATTAGCAGAAAAAAGGACCAACAAAAAGAAGGCCAGAGAAAATGCAAATGTTAGTCAAAGATCTGAATAGTTGATAGTGAAAATAAGGATAAATTCTGTCTTAGGGCTTTGGTCTAGTGGTAAGAGCGCAACACATGATATGTGGGTTAGGTGCAGGTCATGGGTTGGAATTCTGCTGTAGACAGAAGTCCGACATTTAAGTGGAGAAGGATAGAGGTGCAGACCTATTATCCACTGAGTTTCAAACTGTGTGCCACCAACCCTTGGGATTTCTCGGCTATCAAGAAGAAAAAAAAGAACAAGGATAAATTCTTTACCAAAAAAGGGATTATTTTTTATTCTTATGTGTTTGAAGTTCTCATTATATGTATAGATGATTTCTGCAGTTTGTAGGTAGGAAACTTAACTGGCATGGTTCTTTTTATACTTTTTTGTACACGGTAGTCTTACGAATAAAAATTCTTTACTCATTTTGATAAGAAGAAGACTAGGTATAATTGGATGTTTCTTATCTATTATCTATAAAGTCTCAATGATTTGCCAGTAAAGTGTTTTGGTTTTTCCAACCTCACATTATACTTTCCAAAATTTTGGAGCGGAACTGAGCATCCATTTTTCTTTTCAAATTCAGGAAATATTTGGTATTGCTTGAATGTTTGATTGATTAATTATGTTTCCAAAAGTTTAATATGTCTAATGTATGGTATTCCATAATAAGAGTAATTACTTGGGAAAAGCATATTTAAAAAAGTAGAAAATATAATATATACAACCAAATACCACCAAGCATAAAAATCAAATAATCAAAATAAATTAGTATATGACACTGAATTTAATTCTCTTTGATTTTCTCTTCTATCTGAAAAGAAATCGTAAATTACTACGTCATATTGCATTGCTCTGAAATCAAACATTTTCGGATAAGATAAATCTTTCACACTAAACACCATCAGAAATAAAAATTGTAATCTTAATAACGTTTAATCTAAATAAAACTTCAATCTGACTAATTAGTTTAGATTTGTTTTTTACGGAATAATATTCAAATAATTGCTAGGCAATTATATTCCATGCAGATGTGCCAAAAAAGAAAAAGCTAAACTAATTTAATTTTCCTTTAGTACCAATATTATGAATTGAAGTTTACTTTTTTGGATAAGGTAAATTATAAGATTTACGTTCCTAAATTTACTTTATAAACCACTAATAAACTATTTGACTTAAGGTGACTAAAAACTGAAATAGTTGGTCTGTTGAAATCTTTCAATAAAGGTTTAACAAGCAAAAGATCATCACACCGTTAAAGTTGTTTATTATTTAGTTAAACTTTGAGAACATATGCTTTACTTAATTATATTTGAGTTAGTATTATTTGTATAGTAAGTTGTTAAATCTATTTTCGTTATTAACTTGGACTAAGATTAACTTCTCAAGATATTTGGAACCTACATGAAAAGTAGTAAAGTACTACAAATTGCAGAACTTTTTGTACGAAAAATGCGAAGAGTACATTTTAACTGTTCATCAAGGTTCACCTAATTTGATCCCCTTTAAATGAAGGTGAACATTTTTGGGACACATAAGTGAAGTTCCTATTTTTCACTGTATGGATTGAGAAGGAAATGTACTTACAATTTTTTATGTACCGACTAAAAATGAAATATTTTTATTTGAAATGGAGAAATATTTCTGTTTGAAGTTAGATTTGCTGTTTGAAGTTAGATTTGCAAAATTAAGAAGAAATCATTATGTAATTTAGGTGTTAATTAAGGTATTTTAGTGGTATTACTGCAGAGAACGAGTGAAACAAAAAGATTAAGTGTAATTCCTTGAAAAATAATAGAATTAACATGCCATCACGAGGTAAATCGTGCCAGAGAGAAACAAAAAGGAAAGATGAGGAAGTTAAACTAGAATTGTTGACCTAATATAGTGGATAAATAAAGAAAAATACTCCTCATTGATGGAAATTTACAAAACTATAACTACACAATATATTTGGTTTTATATATTGAGATATCAGTTCTAGTAAAAGCCACCACAGAGAGAATTATTAGGTATCTATTTTTTCCTTATCGAGTGTAAGATATTCAGTTACTTCAATTGTTAGATTTTGAATTGAAACACTAAAGGAAGTGAAATAACATGACAAATTCATTGGAATAAGAAATTAAAAGTAAAATATTCCTAACACAGCTTATATGGAGTACTTATTATTTGAGAAGGCAAACAACTGTTTTCTTGACCAAGGTCTTCGTGAGAAAATCTATAAACGTTTTTAACTTTTCAAGAATTTGGTTTGCCAAGTTTACATTTAAAAATCAACTAGAAACATTTTAAATTCACTCGTCGAATGATGCTATATATCTTAGGACCGAAGGAATTACTTTCAGCAGTTTTGTATTCCGCTATACCCATATACTTATATATTTACCGTCTTACAAAATTATAAATTTATAAGAAAAAATATTCTTGATTCTCTGTTTTTATGGTGTGCAATGTATGTGCGTGCAAACTAGTTTTGCTAAATGATGGTATGAGTGGAAGAAAACAATCATTCTAATTGGGCTCGACTCTTGAGCTTTATTCCCTAGTATATCACAAAATCTTGATGAACTAGATGGCGTCTGTCTATATTCTTCTCTAATTCCAACATATCTGAATATTATTTTTTCCCTCAGATTTCTAAAGTGAGTTCCGGAAGTGATTTCATCATGTTGAATGATTATTGCACATTTAAGATTTTTAAAAGATTTTATTCATTTTTTGTTATTTGGTTGTGAGGCATAACTGTTGCAATAAATGCAGCTATTCCTTTGTCCATCGATCACAAGCCTGACAGATCTGATGAGCGAGAAAGGATAGAACAGGCTGGCGGTTTCATCATCTGGGCAGGTAAAAGTCTGTTGCAGTCTCTTGTATGTGTTTCTTGGTGCTTGATTGGACCAGTAAATGCTACCGGAGACTGAAGTCACGAAGAATTGTATTATGCCAGCACTCTTTTTTAATATGTAATCAAATTCTCTCTCTTTTTTTTCTATTGGGTTCTGTACATTTCCATTCAGAATCTTCCAAAATCTCATTGTGTAGCCCTTGCAACCTTCATTATTTGTGAAGTTTGAGCTTCACAAAAATTTGCTATTCAACCATCTGTTACTGGGCTAGGAGAATTTATTATGCAACTGTTTAGTTAAATATTACTCCCTCTGTTTAATATGTGGCAAATTCCAAATGGTCACGGAGTTTTAAGAAAGAAAGGAAGACTTTGAAACTGGTGCTCTTAAATGTAGTTCATGTGGTTTCTTTATTATGCAACTGCTTCATGTGGTTTCTTTACCTGGCAGTGCCTTATATGAGCAATACTACATATCCGTACTTGCATGCCTTAGGTGCTTTCTAGTGAAATTTATTTCCGCAGTATGTTACATCCTCTTTCCTCTTAGTTGAATTCAATGCAGTGTCCTGCTGCTCTGTTCTTCAGGTACATGGCGTGTAGGTGGGGTCCTGGCTGTTTCTCGTGCATTTGGAGATAAACTGCTAAAGCCATATGTTGTGGCAGACCCAGAGATTCAGGTATTTTGGCTTTTGTTCTTCAAGCAATAGTTTGTCTTCATTTCCTGTTCTATTTGCTTGATCTGTCAAGGCTCAAGAGCATGGTGTTAATCAGAAGTATGGCTCTCCACTGTCACCTTGTGATGTATTATTTGGGAAGGCAGTTTGAGATTATTAGGGAAGTTATCGTGTTTTTAGTTTCTTCAAATGGAACTTTTTTGGTTCATATAGTAACCTACATCTACCCTACCAACACCACTTCCTATGTCATGCCCAAAAACTGGATGGACGGATTGGCACTTGATGCCTTAAACTTACCATTGAGCAAACCAACTTTCTAATGATCATGCATGAGTAGGAAACATGAAACTCTTCATAAACATTTGCATAAGTTTATAAATATCCTAAGACATCAAATAGTTATTGATACATGAATATGAGAGATCAGTAGAATGACAAAAGGACATAAACTAGACCTACAACGTCTATGGAGCCTATGTACCTCCGTAACCAGTCATACATAATTTCAAATAAATCATTTTCGTCTTTGTTAAACTTACCAAGGGTTATAGTCATAGTGATCCTCCTATTCAACTACTTCAATCGTTTCCGAGCACCAAGCTAGTACTAGTTGGATAGATAGAGATGGTGAAATCTAACCTTTGAATCGATCTTCTTTAGTTGGGTGGATCGCTCGAGTGTCAAAACCAAGATGGTGGTTGTTTTTCCTTGGCTAAAAGAATACCGGTGACAAGGCCTTCGCTATACCCAAAAATAAAAAAATAAAAAAAAGTCACTAACCAATCCCCACGGCATAAGGTGGGCTCACCAAAAATTGGGAATGTGAAGGAGAAGCCTAGAAGGTGGTAGAGTCGCTCGAAGTATCAACACTTACAATCACAACATGAGTGAACGCCCCCGCAGAGGGACGTGAGTATAATAATAAAGTACTGCATGAGTATCATTGTCTCCCTCACAGAAGGGTGAGCGATACTTACGGAAAACGTGAATGCATAATCACAACAATATAAAGCATTTGAAAACTTGAAAACATGTAGAAACTTTAAACTTAAATATTTTCATTTATCGTAAAGCATTTCTACAACTGGGGAGTGCATAAGCTCACTAACTCAACTGGAGGACCGTCTCACCATGATGCTGCATGGTGTGACATGTCCGACCTAGGGTATTGACTCGATCAGATGTGTCGTCTCACCAAAACCTTTTATGGATCTGCTATGGAGGTTGCTAGCAACATGATTATGCTCAAACTCTACTCCTACACTGGCACGTGTTGTTTCTAGGCCTTAGCCTTTTCAGTTTACGAAGTGTACTCCTAAAACATTTAATACCTGATTCGGCACCTTTTGGCCACATACATAACTCAACATAACTTTCTCAATCATGAAACACAATACAAGCGTTTAAACATGTCATAGAAATCATTTAAAAGCTTTATAAACTTTTTGAACTTAATTCAAGTGAAAACTAATGAAACATAACTTACAAAACTTGCATAAACACTTATATCATGTATGCCTTCTCATTTAAAACATAACTTGAAACGTTCATGGATATTTATGCTCGCTCGTCCCTACGAACTCAGTTATCAACTAATGCATTTTGAAAGCATGAGATTAGGAAAAAATTAGCCTTCGCTTTGAGGCAATACATTTCCCAACAATAAGGTAGGATGCTTAATGAGCTCTTCATCATACACTCGTGGCCTTTGGTAGCGGCAGTGAGTGTAAGTTGTCTAGTTAAATCAATTGCTATTCAAGTGAAACTATTGCATAATAAAGGGTTGGTTAAAAATACACTTGGAATGGTAGGGTGAAATGAGAACTCGAGACCAAGCTGCTTGTGTTAAAATATTGTCAGAACGTATTTCTTCCCTCTACGAATTTGTTTCTCAGACCAGCCTTTAAGTTTTGGAGGAATCCATTAATTGCCCTCCATTGTAGCTGTTGTATGAAAATTGAGCAGTAATTGAGCATATTGACCTGAACTGTGATGAAATTTAGAATAGGGAAGAAGGCAGGGAAACTAGAAATACAAAGCCCTTCCTTTTTCTCCTATTCCACCACGCTGTTTAAATGAGACCATAACCATCAGAATTTACAATCATTTCTTGACAAAACATTGCTATTTTGCCCCACACTTGTAGATGGAAGAAAGATACATTTGCATAGAGGTTTGGAAGTTCCTATGCAAGGAGTGTCGGTAGACTGTATCTCAGTAGAAAAAGTTTGAGCTGGCACGTTGCACTTATAACATAAGCGTACAGGGGGAAACTGACATTCAGCTATATCTTTTATTTTCTAGTATTTAGCAGCTGAAGTATTTTTGGTTTCCCTGAATTAATGCTGTGTTTTTCTTAGCACATCTTGACCCTTTGATTACCCAACCAAGACCTCACTTGTGGGATTAAACTGGGTTGGTTGTTGTTGTTGTTGTTGTTGATTTGCTTGTTTTGTTCTGATATTGTAAACCTGTTGTTTTACTGAACCGAAATATTGCTACTTACATCTCTCTCTCTCTCTCTCTCTCTCTCTCTCTCTCTCTCTCTCTCTCTCAGCTTCCGAAGTTGATGATTTGGATTGATGTTCAGTACATTGATATTTGATCTCCTTTTTCAGGAAGAAGAAATTGATGGTGTAGATTTTATAATAATTGCCAGTGATGGACTTTGGAATGTCCTGTCTAACAAGGTCAGGTTTCATTTGCTAAACGTGTTATACACCTTTCTTGGTGTTTCAACACTAACCAGTTTTCCTCAACTTACAAACTCTTAGTAAGATGGCAATGCTAAATGTATACTTGAGACCTCAGTGCTTGGTTTTAAGGATTGAATTTGAATACATCTTGTGAGGGGTTTCTTGTATTTCTTCTGTCTTTATTTGGACGAATCTGGAGCTTGTCCTTCAAAGGAGGGGGATATCAAAAAACTGTTACTATTAAAATCTTTGCTAAGCTCATTAGTGGTCATGAACTGTATTTTATAATTCAAACTTAAGCTCAAAATTTTCATGGTCCTGGTCTTGAAATTGAGAGGGAAAGACGACTTAATATATTCAATATTCAGGGAGTTTGAAAGTGGAGATTATTATGCTCCGGAAAAATTGCTGGAACTGGTTCTTAAGCTTAGAGCTCGATCCTCAGGTGAATATTCAAGGGAAGCTATTTTGCTTAGGCAAGCTCAAGTTTGGTTAGGGATGATTCCTAGAGCCTTGTGTAATACTTTTACACATTCCTTGTATACAGGTAGAAGAAAGTAACAAACCAGGGAAGTTCTCTTTAAAATTAGTAGCTTCTTCTGTAATTCTAGTTTCATGATTGTTAGCATATGACAGTAGCTTTGCAGTGATTCAACATGCAAGCTTTGCTGTTGTGTGTCTAATATGTTGATATTTGCTGACTGGTCCAAAATATTCATGCATGTTAATTTTCTCTCTTCCTATGCAACTAGAAGTTGCATCAACTAGTTATGAATTTTCAAGGGTCTAACTTCTCTTCATTACATACAGGATGCTGTGGCCATCGTGCAGGACATAAAAGATGCTGAAGCAGCATCACGTAAGCTTATAGAAGAAGCTTATTCAAGGGGGAGTTCTGACAACATCACGTGTGTAGTTGTTCGATTTGAGAGCGCATGAATGGGGACCTATTAAGGTCTGCCTACCTTTCTTCACTTACAAACATATAAACTAAGCAAACACGGAACACCTTCTCCTCTGCTGTTTTATGACAGACTTACTCATTTTCTCCAGCATTAAGAATGATGTATGTCAATAATGCTACTTAACTCTGCAGATAAAAGATTCTGAAGGAGGAGGTAGGCCTTGTAACTAGCTTATTTTTCCAACTTCGCCATACTTCTAGTGATGATTAAGCTGGCCATGTCACTTGGAGTTGTGGTCGTGGGGATTTTTACTAATGGTCTCTGCTTATAGACTTGTAAATTTACTTTCAATTGTTGTGTGATGACAAAGTGTAAATCACGCTGGTATACTTTTAGTTCTTAATCGAATGCTTTCTGACGTTGTATTCACGCAATATTTTCAGTAGAAAACAGAAATCAGATATTCCCTAATTTTGGTTTTCTGCTAAGATCGTATTGGGTAATGTCTTGGATTTCTACCTGCATTACCGAGAGTGGTGAATTTCTCTCAGGAATTATCGACGTTTTCTAAAATATTATGTGGAATCAAGTTTTGGTTTCTTTTGGACATTAGATTTGTCAGGAACTTGTGATTTAGGATGCAGTCTAAGAAGTTATGGAACATTCACAGGGAAACAGTATCTGAACAGTTGAAAGCTATAACAACTTGTTTGGATTCAGAAAAATCTACACAGCTGGCTGGTTGTTCAACTTGGGCAGATGTATCATGTAAAGCTATATGTTTGGTCTATCAGTGACTGGCAAAAGGTATCTACCTTCTCGAATACTCTTAACCTTATTTTTGCCAACTTTGGGAGCTAAACTCCTAATTACAAACAAGTTACATCCCTAGAGCTATAGCTCTAATGAACCTGATCGGTTTGGGTTTCTTAATGGCATTAAAATCCTATTAAAAATTGATAAACTATTTAAGTCTAATACAGCAACAACAACTACAACAGCCCAATGCAAATCCCACAAGTAGGGTCACGGGGAGGGTAGGATGTACACAGTCTTATCCTTACCCTAGGAGGGCAGAGAGATCGTTTCCGATAGACCCTCGAAGATTAAGAAGCGCTGATATCAATTAATAGCAAGACAAATATTAGGAAACTAAATTGAAGATAGCAATAAAGAATATGAAAGAAGTACCGATAGCAAGTAATAGCAATACAATATACTTAGAGAAACTAAATCCGAGGTCTGATAGCAATAGAGAATATGAAAGGAGCACTAATAGCAAACTAAGGAAGTATTGGTGACAAGTAATAACAGAACAAGATATGCGAAAATAGCAAACTCAGGATAGAAGGGTACCATACTAACACTAACACTAACACTAACGGACTGCTGAAGACATAAGGGAAACACACGACTACCTAATAACCTTCTACCTTAATCTTTAACCTCCACACCCTCCTATCCAGGGTCATGTCCTAGGTTAGCTCAAGTTGCGCCATGTCTCGCCTGATCACCTCTCTCCAACACTTCTTTGGCCTACATTTACCCTTCCTCTTACCCTTCCAAGCCAACCTCTCACACCTCCTGACTAGGGCATCTATGTTTCTCCTCTTAATATGCCCGAACCATCTCAACCTCGTCTCTCGCATCTTTTCCTCCACAGGGGCCACTCCCATGCACCTTGTCCTGAATAACTTCATTCCTAATTCTATCTAACTTAGTAGGCCCACACATCCATCTCAACATTCTCATTTCAGCAACAAGTTATTTAAGTCTAATATGGATTTAAATTAAAATTCAACTTGGGATATTGGGACTACCTTTGGTAGGGCTCAAATGAATGAGCCCATTTCAATCGTCTAATCTCCAAATGGTTATTAGCTCAGGGTGATTTGCACAAATAGGACACTTTGGTGCCATTTTTTATATTTTGACCCCACTAGTCCCATGGACAGAACTTTAAGTTTAACAGATATTGCCCCTCGCTTGCCCGATGAAAGCAACACTTTTGACCTTATAGTTTTGCGAATGGGGCTAGCAGGGGTCAAAAAAGTCAAGACCGTTCATTTTTAAGGTCATTAGGTGTAATTTCCTAGAGAAAACTACACAGCTAATCATTTTTTTTAAACATATTTAAGAAAATAATATCATCTGTTGTTTATTCCAATTCTTTTTACACTATTAATATATTGTATAAATTATGCACACAATAAGGAGGCACAAATCATGAAATCTGATACACCCTCTCTCCTCTTATGTTTAATCCTAAACTAGTTAATTTACCCGCGCTTTGCGCGGTATTAAAGAAAAATCAAAATATGAATAAATAATAATTATTAGACTTTTTATTATAAAAAAAATCTTTACTAGTAAGCGAAGCAACAAGAATTGTTAATTCAAAGTCATCCTTAATATTTATTAAAATATATATCTTATTCTTGGGCTTCTTTTTACCAAAAATATTAAATTTATGAATAACAACGTAAATATCATGTTTAAAGAAAAAAAGTAAGTCTCGTCAAGTCTATTCTAGTCTCAACATCATTCAATGAATGATCTGTGATGACCCAAAAGGTCATCTTGTGTTTTAGAACCTAATTCGGTGTTTCGAGGCCTTCAAAATATCATTTTATTCCTCCTCAATTTGCGTGCGCATTCCGAGCGCGTTTCCGAAAAGCCTTTATGTGGAAATTTGAGAAAAATAATAATTTTTGCCTTTAAAAGTTGATTTAGATGACTTCGGTCAACGTTTTGAGTAAACGTACCCGGATTCGTATTTTGACAGTCCCGGTCGGTCCATATTAAAATATGGGACCTGGGCGTATGCCCGGAATCGGATACGGAGGTCCCTAACCCGAATAATGAATTTTTGTTAAAAATTGTAAGTCTGGAAATCTAATGGTTTAAAGAATTAGATTAATGTTTGATCTCGTTGGTATCGGGCCCGTATTATAGTCTCGGAGTCCGGTACAGGTTTAATATAATATTTAAGTCATGTCTGTGAAATTTGGTGAAAATCGGAGTTGATTTGACGTGATTCGGGCATCCGGTTGGGAAAAGAGGAATTTCAAAGTGTTCTTAAGAATTTCATGTGATTTGGTGCTAAATTCGTAGTTCTAGATGTTATTTTGGCGATTTGATCGCACGAGCAAGTTCGTATGATGTTTTAAGACTTGTGTGCATGTTTGGTTTAGAGCCACAAGGGCTCGGTGGAGTTTCGGATAGGCTAAGGGGGTTTTGGAACTTAGAAAATTTTGCTGGTATAGCTGAACTTGCTGCGGGCCTCTGATCTCGCATTTGTGAGATCAGGCATCGCAATTGCGAACCCCACAGGTTCCGCATTTGCGAGGCTTTCATCGCAAATGCGAAGAAAAGTTGGGCCAGTAGTTCTCGCATTTGCGAGGTTACCTTCGCAATTGCGAAGGGAGTCTGGGAGGGGCAAGGATCGCAAATGCGATCTTTTACTCGCATTTGCGAGGTTCAGTGATCGCAATTGTGACACTTTCCTCGCATTTGCGAAGGCAGTAGGATTGAGAAGGGCTTCGCAGTTGCGATAGCACCTTCGCATTTGCGAGCTTTGTATTTGCGAAGCTCAGGTCCCAAGTGCGACATCTGCAGCTGTGTAAAAGGGACTTAGACGGGATTTTTGATTCATTCGCCAGATTTTCAAAACCTAAACCTCAAGAGGCAATTTTTCAAAGACCATTTCTTCCCCAAATCATAGGTAAGTGATTCTTAACTCATTTCTTTCAATCTTTCACTTCTTTTAACAAGATTTCAACCTTGAATCTAGGATTTTCATGGTGGAAATTGGGGATTTTTGGGTAGAAGCTAGGGATTTCGAAATTTGGGGATTTAAACCTCAAATTGAGGTTCGATTCCAAAACCAATTGTATATACGGGCTTGGGGGTGAATGGGTATTTTGAGTTTGGACCAAGCGGGCCCGGGTGTTGACTTTTTCAAAATGGCCTAAATTGAATTCCTTGCTATCATGGGTAATTCCTAAGGCTTAAATTGAATTGTTTGGTTGGTATTTCTGCTAGATTCTATTGGTCCGGAGGCTTGTGTGAAGGGAAAAGCGGTGATTGAGCCTTGAGTTTGGCCGAAGGAGCGAGGTAAGTGTTTTGCTAACCTTAGCTTGAGGGATTAGGTATTATTTGCTTACTTGTTACGTGTTTGGATGTTGAGTACAACGTATAGGTGAGGTGACGAGTACCTATACGTTGTTGTCGAGTCATAGCATGTGAGCGAGTCTTATCCTTGTAGATGTCGTATATTTTGATCATATTGTTCATGTTTAGACTAGCTATTCGATGTGTTGAGCAATTTCTTATCATGTTTTATTGAATTTGGTATTGGTTGAACGTTTACTCAAAGTTGAGATTGGTATTGTGGAACTAAGTGTTGAAGTAAGACGTGTTGTTGTCATTTCTATCTCCCTATTATAGTTGTCTCTTGTTTTGGTGAGGTAGAGTGATAATGCACGAAGGGTGATGCCGTGCACGTTTCTATTACTTACATGGCGAGGTTGAGTGATAAAGCATGAAGGGTGATGCCGTGCACGTTTCTATTACTTACATGGTGAGGTTGAGAGATAAGCACGAAAGGTGATGCCGTGCACGTTTCTATAATTTATATGGTGAGGCTGAGTGATAAAGCACGAAGGGTGATGCCGTGTATGTTTTTATTATCGATTATCTAGTGAGGTTGAGAGTAAAAGCGCGAAGAGTAAAAGCGCGAAGGTTGATCCCCTTACAGTTATTCCAGTTTAGTATTTCTTTTAATGCAAAGACAGTCGTACTTTCTTTCAGCCAGTATTTGTAGTGACTCTTAGAAGTTCGTGAATTGTAACACCAGTTTCTGGGTAGTTATGTATAAGTACTTGGGTTATTATGAAATTCTGCACTCTTTTAATCTATTTTGGTTTAATTGCTGTTATTTACTGATTTGGTCAAGGTTTAGCATATTAAATCTTTAACTGTTGGCTTGCCTAGCATCCGAAAAGTTAGGCTCTATCACGGTCCCGACGGTGGAAAATCCGGATCGTGACAAGTTGGTGTTAGAGGACTAGGTTGTCTAGGTCTCACAATTCGCGAACAAGCTAGATAGAGTCTAAGGGATCGGTACGGAGACGTCTCTGCTTATCCCCTAGAGGCTACAGTGTTTAGGAACAATTTCCCTTCTATTCTTCTCTATCGTACGATTTGATCCCTCAATACTAATTGAACTCTCTACTCTTGTTCTTTCACAGATAGAGAGAACACGTACCAATTCTTCAGCCGAGCAGCAGCAAGAGCCCACAATGGCAGCTTCTACGAGGGGCAGAGCACGAGACCGAGGCCGTGCTAGAGGCCGAGGCAGGGGCAGGGCTCAGCCTAGAGCTCGAGCAGCAGCACCAGCGGCGGAGCCTCAGGTAGAGTTTGATGAGGAGGCTCCAGCCCAGACATTTCCAGCAGGGCCAGCTCAGGTTCTAGAGGGGTTCATCGC